TATAGTAAATGAAACAGCCTGGTATTGGCATAAAACTGACAGGTAACCCAAGGGATCGAATTGAAAACCCTGATATTAACCCACACACCAATGAACACCTGATTTTTGACAAAGAATCTAAATCTATACAATGGAAAAATGAAAGCATCTTCAACAATTGGTGCTGGCAAACTGGATTCAGACATGTAGAGGATTTCAGATAGATACATATTACCATGCATAAAACTTAAGTCAAAATGGAACAACGATCTCAACATAAATCCAACCACACTGAACTTATTAGAAGAGAAAGTAGGATATACCCTTGAACGAATTGGTACAGGAGACTGCTTCCTGAACATAAAACTAGTAGCACAACTTTGAGATCAACAATTAATAAATGGGACCTCCTGAAACTGAGCAGCTTCTGTCACACAAAGGACATAGTCAGCAAGAGAAAATGCCAGCCCACAGAATGGGAAAAGATATTCACCAACCCTACATCTGATAGAGGCCTGATCACAAAAAATATACAATGAATTCTATAAGCTAGTCACCAAAATACCAAAAAATGCAATTAAAAAGTGGGTTGCAGAACTAAATAAAGAATTCTCAACAGAGGAATCTATAATGGATGAAAGACACGTAAGAAAGTGCTCAACATCCTCAGCCATCAGGGAATGCAACTCAAAAGAACTTTGAGATACCTTCTTTCTCCTATCAAAATGGCTAAAATCAATAACACCTATGATAGTCTATGTTATAGAGAAAGTGGAGAAAGAGGAACACTCCTCTATTGCTGGTGGGAGTTCAAACTTGTACAACCACTTTTGGAATCACGTTGACAGGTTTCTCAGGAAAATGGGAATCAGTCTACCTGAAGATTCAGCAATTCCTCTCTTGGACATATACCCAAAGAATGCATACTCATACAATAAGGACTTATGTTCAACTATGTTCATAGCAGCATATTTGTAAGGGCCAGCACCTGGAAGCAACCTAGATGCCCCTCAACTGAAGAATGGATAGAGAAAATATGGGACATTTACACAATTCAGTACTACTCAGAGGAATAAAAAAACAATGGAATCTTGAAATTCACAGGCAACTGTAGGGAACTAGAAGAATCCATCCTGATTGAGCTACCCAGTCACAAAAACACAGACATGGTATGTACTCACTCATATATAAATTGTAGACATAGAGCAAAGGATTGCCAGCCTATAATCCATACTGCCAGAGGAGCTAGGAAACAAGTAGGACCCCAAGAGTAGATTGCATAGCCCCTCAAGGAAGGGGAGGAGGACAAGATCCAGTGAGCAAAGTTGGAGCATGGGGGAAGATGAAGCAGGTGGGCAAGGAAGAAGGGGGGGCGGGAGGAGAACAAGAGGATTGAGACAGAATAGGAACAGAGGAGGGCAAGAAAGGAGATGCCTTGATAGAGGCAGACAGTACAGGTTTGGAGTGAGGTCTGGACAGTACAGGTTTGGAGTAACACGGGAAATGTTAGGGGATCCACACAGATGACCCCACCTAAGCATCTAGGTAGTGGTGGAGATTATGCCATTGTAGGGAGACACCCTAGCCCTGCCCAATAGTCCTGGGACAGGTACCAGGTGGACCCGGGACTCACCCATAAGGGTGTGGTGAAGGAGGAGTGACGAGCAAAGGAGCCAAGACGGTACTGGAGAAACCTGTAGAAACAGTTGACCTGACCTACTGAGAGCATGGACCATAAAGTCATAAAGCTGGGGAAACAGTATTGGGCTGAACCAAGCCCTCTGAATGTGTGTGCCACCTAGGAGGCCAAGACAGTCTATGGGACCTCTAACAGTGGAGCCAGTTTTAATCCCTAGAGCCAAATGGACTTTGGGAGCCCATTCTCTATGGAGGAACATTATTGCAGCCCAGATACTGCAAGGAGGTTTAGGCCCTCCCCCTAATGATATGACAGACTTTGAAGGTCCCACAGTGAGGGCCTCAGTATCCCTGGGAGGAGTTGGGGGGGTTGGGGGGGAACATTCGAGAATGGGAGGGCAAGGGAATGGAGGGAATGGATATGTAAATATGAGTGCCTCGAAAACAAAAACAAATAATAAAAATAGACATTCACATACATACTGCAATTCACAATAGTCTCAAAAACTATCTAGTAACAAACCTAACCTAACCAAAAAGGTGAAGAAGCTCTACAATAAAATCTTTAAAGCTCTCAAGAAAGAGACAGATAAAGACAGCAGAAAATAGAAAGACATTCCATGCTCATGGATTGGTAAAATTAACATTGTGAAAATTAGCATTTAATCAAAAGCTATTTTGCTGCTTCAATTACAATCAAAATCCCTATCTCCTTCTTCAGAGACAGAGAAACAAATCATCCTTAAGTTCAGATGGAATCACAAAAGACACCATAGAGCCCAAATAATCCCAAACAAAGAGAACAATACTGAGATTATTATATTCCAGGTCTCAAAATAAATCACAAAGACATAGTAGTAAGGACATTATTCACTGGCATGAAAACAGATGTCAAAAACAAAACAAAAAACAGATGAAATAAAACATCTTCAGCTAATGGTACTGAGAAACTGAATGTCTATATGCAGAAGAATGAAATTAAACTAGTATCTGTCATCTTACACAAAAACAAACTCCACTTGATTAGAAACCTAAACCTGAAATTGCTAGAAGGAAGGCATGCAATTCCACACGATATTCATGTAGGAAAAGACTTTTTGAATAAGCATCCATTTGCCCAAGATTTATAGACAACTGGTGACAAGTGGTATTTCATAAAACTAAAGCTTCTGCATGGTAAAGGAACAATCCCCTGATGAAAAAGAGGCCCACAGAATGGCAGAGAATCTTTGCTGGCTATACATCTAACAGACTATTTAATCTCCAGAATATATAAAGAACTCAAGAAACAACGAGTCAAAAAATTGGGCCTGTCGCCTATACAAAGAGTTTTTAAAATAATAAAAAAAAAATGGTCAAGAAATCTCAAAAAATCATTATCTTTAGATAAACAATCAAATCAACTATATGTAAATGCAAACACAACTCGGTGAAATTAATGTTGATAATTCTTGTTAATGTAGTTAGAATGGCAAAGTTTAGCAAAAAAAATTGGTGAGGTGAGAAGTTACTCTGTATATGTCTCTCTTATTGGTTGATGAACAAAACACTTATTGGCCAAGCAGGAAGATAGATGGGGCTAGGAGTCAAAAAGAATCTGGGGAGTGTAGATAGACACGAGGTGTGATGTGAGCCTGGGGAGAATGGATGCCCCAGAAGGAAAGATAAGGTCACATGTAAATACTTAGAGCAATGGAAGTGGGTTAGTAATTAAGACAGAGGTAGCCAATAAGAAGCCCTAGTCACAGGCCAACAGTTTTATAACTAATATAGAGACTGCTTTTTCATTCCGGGTGGAGAAGGGCTTCAGGACCAGGATGGACCAAGAATTTCTCATACCACAATGGACAACAAATTTTAGGGGTAGTGCAAGAGTATTAAAACCATGACTCTCAGACAGTGAAGGTAGGCTTTCAGGAGGGGCTCCTACAGCCAGAGTGTTAAGGTAGAGGCAGGCAGGAAGGATAATGAAACTCACCCATGACCTAGCCCAGTAAAACTGATTCACCACTATCAAGGAGAAGGCATTATTTACATAAAGATTCACATTTTCTGCTGTGCATAGTTTTCATTGAGGTTCCCTTTATGTTAACATGCGTCATGGCTACAGTGTCACACATAGTAGAGTCACTGACTTAAATCATCCCTGTGCTTTTGGAAACAAAGCCTTCTTCTGACAGCTTTATCCAGTGTTTCTAAGGTATTGTATTTATTAATATCACCATGTTATCAGAAAGAAATAATTATTGGGTGGATCCAGTATTCTAGGATTAAGGGGTATCATGATATTTTGTTGATTCAGTGGTGCGTGGTGGATAAAAGAATATTACAGAAAGTCAAAGTTCAGGTTCAAATGGGAAACTTGATTTCTATGTTAACATTAGGTTGATCATTTGGAAATCAACACAGCAGAACTGTTAGCTTCATTAGAAAGAGACAAACTCTTTAGAGTGGGGCATGGGCATGATGTTGGCATCAGGCATCATTTGTAGAAAATGATTCTGTGACTCACAGAGACCCTGGAAAACAAAACTAGGACAGATAGTCTCCAGGTCTACAGAACATGGTGTTCGCTATTGTGACTTTGTCAGGCCTGGCTTGGACCATTTTTGTTTTTTTTGTTCCCTTGTTTCTGGCATGGTATCATCTGGTGTAACAAATTTGTATCATCATAAATGGCTTTCTAATGAGTTCACACTTGTGGCAGAATCCACTAAGAGGGCTTTACATCTTGGGATTGCTTCTCTGTGGTCTTGAATGAAGTCATACTCCATGTCACTGGCGAAGATCCTAAAAAAAGCAATTTTACTCATATTGTTTGTTATTGTGAATGAAGGGCCACAGATTCAAAGCCTCAGGGAAGAAATTATTGGATAACTCCACAGGGGAGTGATGTATCCTGTCTGAAACAACTTGGCATGACCAAAGATATAACTCTAGTCACCAATAAAACTAGAAACACACATGCACACACATGAGCTGTGTATATCCATGCTGGTATCTGCAGAGTCCACCTTATCATACTCATGGATGGACAAATACTTCATTAACATGCTGTTCTCTTGGATTTTTATCTCTTACTTTCCACAGATTCCTATTCCTGTGTGGTCCTACAGCAGCACTGAGTGCTTAGTCAGAATGCATTACCATTTAAATATTAAAGGAAATGTGGTGATTGTTGGGCTTTTCCCTGCTTATACTGCCTACCCACTCAACAAAACAACTGATTGGAGAATGGCTAAATTCACCAGAGATTTTATGATCGAGTAAGTCTGCTTCCATTTATCACTTTTCAAGGTTGACATTCATATGCACTAGGGGAAGTAGAGATTCAAGCATTATTATTGCTTCTTTATTCCACTAAGAATTTTCCTCTTTTCCACTCCTTAATCCTTTTGAGGGTCTCTCTTCTTAGTACTCACCTGTTATTTTCAAAAGGGAAGAAGGAATTTGGGCTTTATTTGTTTTCTTTTCTGCAGTAGTACTGGGAATTTCCCCATATATTCTGCCATGACTACACCTCCTCAGAATTTGGATTTTTCAGTGTTAGATCTGCAAGAGAAAGATTATTTAATAAAGAACTGCCATGATATCTGAGGGGATTCTAGAGATCTGTCTGTACTCCTGAGAGAAGGGATAATGCCACTGAAGTTAGTG